GGGACAAGAGAAGCACCAGCTTGTAAACTATTCCCATAATAAAACTTTGACTTTGACTTTAGATCGCAACTCACAAATCATTTAATCACAAAGAAAATCACCTATCTGTATTTACGCTACATTTAAACACTGGAATACAGTGTCTTCTGCATGCCTGAATACCGGTTCCAAAGTTAATCTGTCGATCTAATGGAGTATACAGAGCACGACTGCGTGTAACAGGAATCTAATCACATCATCAATTGGAATCATCATCTGAATAACCCATTCATCCCATCCGTTGGTATTACTGGCACCATAGAGCCGTGACATTAGGTGATTGTTCAGTCGTTTTTCCCTCGCGATTCATCGTACTCAATGCTTTATGAAATACTGAAATTATTTCAATGAAAGCCATTAGCCCTGCGTCCAAGACTGCGGGATAGTAAGTTTTCCATCTCAACAAAATGATCTCTTGAAAAGGCCCAGTCTTTCCAGATGGAGTTGAAAATAGCGGAGACAATACATTTTATAATTGTATTGTCCTTGCAGAGAATCCGTTCGTTCAATGAACTTTGGATATTAGCATCAATTGGTGGTGTGAATGATTAATTTTAATCAGATTCCATTAAATTTGTAACTATGCAGTATCCGCCAATGTGGAAATTCCCGTAGTTAAGAGAATCCATAAAAACGGAGGGATTTGAACAAAGAAATGTTTTAGCTTTTCAAACTGCAATCTAAGTTAACTCCCAAATCGGCCCAACGATGCGCCGTGGTGGCAATTCTTGGGTGAAACCCATCACGCCTTACTTCATCAGATTTTTCGGTTAGAAACTCTGCCCCACGATCTCAAAAAATATGAGTCGTCAAAATTACAATCTAACGAATCACATGGTTATAAAATCGTATCTGAGAAGTACTTGTCAAACTTCGTACTTTGATCTATCTTGGCAGCCAACCGCTTAAACATCTGTGTGAGAGGCCTGCTTCGCTTGATTCGTTTGTCTTTGTTCAAGGTCTGCCCTACCTTTGAAAATCCTGAATAGTCAGTAATTGTAATCAATGGATCACAATAATGCCAGTTTCATGTTACAGATCTTGTTTTCCTTGAAATTTCGTTGTAACTTGAAAAGATGATCATCTCAGATGAATCATACATAAAAGTGTAAAACGGGCAGGAGCATGTTTATCAATTATCTCATTTTCCCTCGATGTATCGTAAAGGTTGCTGATTAGCTTTTCGTTTCGTTTTGTTCTCTCCGCAGCCTTCTTACTGAGCTCGTCAAGATTATATTAATAGTATTAGATGATAGATATTCACAAGAGCTTTAAGGTTGTTCTATGACACCCAAACACATTTAATCAAACACTCACAGTTACAGAAGAACACAGTTTGCACAAGGTCATCTTTCAAGTGCGAAACATACCATGGCAAGAACAATTAACCAACCAACGGAACGCAGTTGGAAATATTTGTTTTCCACAAAAAACGTGCATTCGGCCCACATTTAAATTTATTCGTTTATTAGAAACATGGAAGAAGTTAAGATGATCTTCTTTTCAGCAGTGAACTTGATCCTGTTCTACGAATTGCATTGTTTACAACTGCAGACTGAAAGTCACAATCGGGAACGCATTACCACTATTTGTGCGGCCTTTTGCATAAGCATTCACGTAAACAATCTGCCCTCACATACGTGGTGGTGGTGGTGCAATTATCGACTACAACCAATTAACCTTACGGGTCAAGGATAATCAGTGAGGCTCTTATCTAGCATAGCGAAGAGACATCCATAGTAGACTGTTTGTGAAAGGTTTTGCCCAACCAAACTCGATCGACTTCTAACCCCATAAGAATGCCTTGCCACATAAGTTGGGTCATAGATCAACATTTATGGGACACAGACTTTAACCATCTTTCCTTATTGCCCCCAGTCGACTTGTACAAATAAACGCGGCGATTTTTCTTAGCATAGATACACAATGAATTCTTAGATATCCATTGATTGCACTTTATACAGAAAATCATATAAGAAATCTGAAGGTAGGCATATTGATATAAAAAATGCAAGTTGATTGTTGTCGGAGCGTGCGGGCAGGAACAAACACGCACAACTACGTGTTGTACGCGAGCGAACTGCTAGACAGCATGGGATGAACACGGTTCTAGTGCACCAAGCTCTATGACAATAGCTGACAGGAAGATCTTGCCTTGTGTCAAACATCGGAACATAAATGTTGCGGCCAAGCTGCAGGCGTGGGTATTGATGGACCTTGAGAAGTTGCAGGTTGATGCGGTGAGTCAACCCAGTTGGGAGATCGCGGCGAGTGTGGGGATTTGAGTGATCGTGGAGCACTTCGGTAAGTTTCCATCAAAACTTTCCCCGAAGATGAGCTAGCCCCATGTGCATCTTCGTGAAGCCGGTGAGTCGTTCGACAGATGGATCGCAAATAGTCCACCGCTTTTGCCAAACTGATCACACCCAACGGGGTGTTAGCGTCCACAAGAGGTTCAATGAGAAAGAGTTTTTCCTGAAAATAACAGAATACTTCATGCTGATGATATGGGTTTATCAGGACAATTTGACTATCTAGAGTACTGCTACACAGTGTTTTACAAAGTGCGGCATTGAAACCCCGAATTAACACACTTCTTATTGTTCGGCAAGACATTACTCGTTACTAACCATACGTAGCATGTTTTATCTATACTTGTTCTTATAGATGAATAAATCCACAGTTTTTCTCTGACGAATGATTGGGCATACTTTCAAATCATACTTTGACAGAAGGATCCTTTTGAAACGGAAACTGAAGGTAACAATATCCGCATTACCAGGGAAAGAACTAAATGTTATAAAACCGTGTATGGGCGGGTTTCCATTTTAAATCAACGGTTGTTTTTACTGCAGGCTTTCAACAGAGCTAACTGCGGAACCATGGATTTGTGATTGGTAGTAATGTGATTGTACAGTGGCTTGAAATAACAACGAATTAGTGCTGTAAAGAGATGGAACAATCCAGAGAATGGGAACTAATAGAGAGTACAGTTGAGTAAATGAACCTTTTTCAATAAATGTGATTAATAGTGTAAGAGAAACTTCACAGTACTCATGATATACTGTAAAGGCTGTTTTACTAAGGTATGAGAAATAACAACATTATGATTCAGTGGTAATGGAATTCCATATTTCAATAATCAATTTGGCAAAAACTGCCCTGCCTTTTAGTTAAGAACTATTCGATAAGTCAAAGAGACGGAAATAAATAGATACAGATTATACTCAAAGCTCTCCATGCGTGTAAAAAGCAAGGGGTAATTGGAGCTCACTCGATGATTACATATTAGATGTAAACGTGACATTTTGATAACAATGGCGTTGCAATTTTCCAGCCCCGTTCGCATGATTGAGATAAAGGTCATTATTTTTACGGATGAATTGAGGTGAATAATATGATACATATTTCAGTGGAAAAGGAAGGGTTTGTTGAAGACGAAGCGGTTAAGAGAATATGAATAAAGCATTAGTTACTTGATATGACATACTTTTGGTACGCCATGCACGGACATAAGTTCACGGCAACGACGCAAGTGTTTGATTGTTTCGGCGCGGACTTCGGGATCATTCGTGAACACATCCATTCGAGAGGTTGGCTGAATAGTTGGAAAGAAACAGTAAAAAACACAGTCTATACGAATGGCGCCCATACTACAGGTAGCTTTTCACCTCATGAATATACAAGTGGTAAAATACTGATGTGTTAACACTTAGAAGTACCAGTGAGGATTTCTTTAGTTAGAAATTTGGAGAGCTTTTCCTATTCCTCTGTGAAAAGTTAATCGAACCCTTGCGCTATATAAAACACAGACATGCAAGCGCAGTGATTTTCTTCACATACCGCAGTAATGACCTCCAGGTAACTTATGTTTTATCCTCTCACGTGAATACTTAAAGTATGAACGTGAATTGCTGAAAATAGCTGTTCAGATAAACTGGTTTCTCAGTGGGAGCGTGAGCGTATTCATGGGTTAATTTGACAGAATACAAGGATGACGAATTGCTCGAATCGTGCAATATGGCACAACTGAATCCGAGAGGAAAAAGCTGTGCGAGGACCACAGAGAGGACAGAAAGGCAATCGCGATTGTGCTTTATTCATTGCAACAGCCATAAACCTATTTCTGGGAAGAACTGGGTGTACAGACACATAATTATGTGGCAGATTATTTCTCCGACAAACGTCAAATTGAAAACAAAGTGATTACAGTTTTGATCAACAAAACCTTTACGATATAATTGAGAAGCATCTTCACCATTCACAATCATCTTTGGCAGAATGACAATGTACAACACATCACAATGGGTGATCTTTCACGTGATTGTGAATCCACGAACCTTTAACCTCGAACTGGGCTTCATGACGTGGTTCAACCAATCGGTCAAAAGCTGTCCATTGCTCAGTTTCATCGCCAGTTGCTGCACACCGGTTGGCAATCGAACTCCCAAATCATTCTGGAAAATCTGAAAGAATAAAAAATAAAAGGTGTATTGGCAGATTATTAGTGATTTTGCAGTTCAAAAAGAAAGTTATTTTACAAAAAGTTAAGTCCTTCTGTCTGGCATCATAGAAAAATGAAATTACATGACTAACAATCAACACGGCTTATTCATAGTATCAGGTTTCATTGGTTTTCAACAAACGTTTTGCTGTGTGCATGCACAATCTTGTTCAGGGAAAACAGTGCATCCACTGGTATGTTGAATAGTCAACCGTGGTAATCTCAACATTATGTGAACCACACAACAGTGCGCGTATATGAGTGCTCACTTAAAGCTATCAGCTCTATTCCTCCGAGAACTTCAGATATTGATTTGGACTGATAACCTTTTCACGAATCAATAACTGTTTTCAATTTATCGGTAAAAACATTGCAAGTGGTATTTTTTAATGACTTTGTCATCTGATACAGAAAATAATTTTACGTGTTTAGAAACTCAGTCTGAATAAACTGTGTGGGGTCAAAGTATCACTTAATTTAACGAAACGTACTTTTCTCAATCGCATTACGTAATCCTCTTCCTCTCGACTGAATAAATCCCAAACAGAGTGAGTTGCCGGATGATCATTAGAAATTCGCACCAATTTCCCCTGCTGATTAGCCGACGACTTGGGTATGGCTGAACCAGTTGATCTTAGCGCCTTCTCTGTTTGTACTTGCAGTGAGACTCCAACACGTGAGTCCTTTTTCGGCGTTGTCGAGTTTGTTGTCTTGGTTGGAGGTAACTCAGCGGCTTTCACTTTGGAAACTGTGACCGTTCCGGAAGCGCCTCTAGCATTGATTCCAGACGTCGTGTCAGCGGATGGACGCTTTGTTATCCGATTTTTGGTTTGCACCGAATTGGTGGATGGGGTTGCACGCTGCCGAGAATCACAGATCAAAGTACATTGAGATGCAAGTGAATACAAACGATCGGGTTGTTGACCCAACGACCCGACTCAGAACCGAAGAAAATGGTGTATGAGGATGAAATTCGGAAACCAAAATATAAGGAGTTTTTGCTTTTTATCGTAGAAGAGCAACTCGAAAAATGCTCCTCAGTATGAAACTGAGCGTAGGTTGCTCCTCCGTAACAACGAGTTCCCTTGATGAATTTATACATTCCGAGAAATTTAATCGGTTCAATGAGGCTTCATGCGGNATTTAATAGAATTTACTATACAGTCAAAGTATTAATTCATCAAATGATCTACAGTCGAACAAATGACTAAAAATACGGCGTACACTAACCCGGATTTCTGTGGAACGGGACATCCAACAATCGTCCAGATATACTGGAAATAGGTGCTGATGTTCAAGCGATAAAGTTTATCCTAGAATATGAGCCCGAATATCACCACCACCACTTGACTTACTACAGTTTCTATGTTGTTTTGCTGCTTTCCCGTCTTGCATACATGATAAAAAGAATTAAACATTAAATAAAATATTTGGCTACTCGTAAGTAGTTCATGAAGTATCTCAGCAAGCCAGGACGGACGCTCAGCAGAGCAAATGAATGATCAACTATTTAACGCACTTCAATAGGGGTTGACCATGTGGCACTGATAAAACTTATATTCTTACATGCATACCACAAACAAAATGAGTTAGAGGTTATCTTATAAATAAAAGGGAACTAAATGATAATTCCATTATTTCTTTATTCTCACCTTTGACGCTGAACTTCGACTTGCCGCGGTAGAACCCCTGGATCCCGTGACTGTGGGTTGACGAATCGTACCGGAAGTTATACTCGGGGTTGAACCCAACCGCCCACGCGATGCATTGGTCACTTTATGTGACGGATTAGATAGACTTGGAGAGTTTGATGACCGGCTTTGTATTGATGACGAGTCCGGATCAGAGTGCTTCAACTGAATTGGATCTGTAGACAACCGTCGCGAGGATAAGGGTAAAGTAGATTTGGTAACCACACTGTGATGTCGCCCTCCTTCGTTGGTCCCTAAAGAGCCAGGAGCAGATCTCCTCGGACGTTGCAAACCAGAGGAAGAACCTGAAAGGATGATTGTTTTCAGTTAGATAGAAAAGGACCTTGATATTTAGCATAAAAATATATCTGTAGTTATTTATAGTGCATAGCTTTATCCGAAATTTTTTTCTTCATTAACCGTCAATAGGAAATCCGATAGCAAATACACACTTTCGTCGGTTGAGCTATTATGTGTTTCATTATTTGTTCTGCCACTGCATATACCTAAACAGAAACCCGTGGCACTTTAAGTTGATCAACAAGCACGTTTCTCCAATAGATTCATTCACAACTGTGTGAATTTGTTGGAGTGTTATCGCTTTTTGAAAAGACTATTAAGAAATCTTGTTCTAAGATCTAGCACACTTTATATACGTCCTGAAATCCTTGGGTTCTAAGGGTTTAACGGTTATTCGTCATTAAGAGGCCGGGGAACCAGGAGCCTGGTAAAAATAGGGTATATGATAACTGATATTTGATTTCATTCAAATGGAACAGAGAGAGCAAATAACGTGATTGGCGAATCAACTGGGTGCATTCTGAATGAAATCATCAAAACTAGATTTATCAGCCCATATACTTAGGGTAAAACGATGCATAAGTTTGTAATATTACAGCTGATGATCTCTAGAAAACGCGTGCTGCTTGCAACCTATCTCTTGGTTAACCACTGCTAAGGTTCTTTGCTTAGCTTTTGATAGGTGAAAAAATTATTTCCCATAATAAACTTGAACAAGGAACACAACACTATGGGCGAACACGATTTAATTCCGGAATCATTTTGCTGTATCTCAGCTGGTGCTTACTACAGAAACGAAATAAGTTATATACTACAGGAGATGACAATCTAACATGGCACCAGTTCACTCTTCCCCGCTTACATGGTCACCAGGGCATTTCAGACCCCTTATGCTGGCACAGTCGGGACTTTCGTCGACTGATTACCATGGCCTTTGCAAATCTTAGAAGCAGTCCAAAAGGGGTTGCATGACTACCCCAAAATGAGGGCCCGCCATCGGGTTGGGGCCAGTCTGCAGCAGATGGTGAGAAATCGATGACGCGAGTGCTCTGTAGACTGACTTGATGGCCTATTTGTGTGTGTAGCGCTCAATCTTATCCACTCGCGTTTGACCTCTACCAGAATATGTTCGGTAATGCGGGTACGCAACTGCAGTTCTGTTCTTGCCACATAGGTAGCTCCACACCCACATTGAATATCACTGAGTACACGCGATTTGGTGGACAGAGGGAGCAGTGATTTCATCAAAGGCTTCGAAGTTTGAGTTGTTCAGAAGCGAACGACTTGATTTCCAGCAAAATATGCGCCAGCCGGCTGCTTATAAGTTCGTCTACATCATCACCTTTGACAGAGGGTTGAATGGTAACGCCGCATTTTCGTGCTATCACCTCCGAAGATTTGGGCTCGGCTTTTTCACTGCACAATTGTATGAAATTCGCTGGGTTGTCATTGAGTTTCAGAGCTTCCATCAACCGCATTAGCCCACTTTCCGCATTGTCCGAAGTGCGCAGCCTCCTAGATTGGAAAAGCAGTGTACCCGCGAGGCCTCGTTTGTACTGGATTAAAGCGAAACTCCTAAAATGCATACACTGACCGGTCCACGTGGACTTCCGATGCACATACCTCAAAATAGTGCCGTTGGGTCTTCGACTAATAACAGTACCTAGAAATGCGGGTATGTTGTTTTGCTCTGTTTCCCTATTGAAATATGTCCTCATGAAGTAATTTCAATTCAGATAACGGCTCCTCAGTCTTCCAGGCGCTTTAAGTGATTATCAACGTGTCCTCGATGTACATTTTGTACAGAACAGTGACGTTCAATGTACAATTGGCATTTTCCTCCAGACTAGCCATGAAAATATCAGCCCGAATAGGACCTTAGGGGTTTTCCGTAGCCACCCTATCGATCAGTCTAAATTGCCGACCTCGAAAATTGAAGTGTACACTGTTGTACACAAAACTAGTAGGTTTTCCAAGACCGAGAGCGGAATACCCAACTCGATATGTTTCTCCAACACGAAGTCACAGATGATTTGCATAGTCTTCACAACAAGCACATTGGCGAAGAAAAAGATGAAATCGAATGATACCATATGAGAGTTATTTATGTTTCGTTCATCGAGAACCTTCGTAAGTTTGAAGCTATCCTCAAGGAGCACTGTGTAAGGGATTTTCCTACCGGCTTCATAATTTCAACCAGCCACTCTGTTGCGTTGTGGAGAATTTCGCGTGGAAATTATTGGATGAAGTGGTACACTAGGTTTATAAACTTGCTAGCCCAAAGATTTGTGTTGTTTTCGTACCGATGGGTTTAATTTTTTTGGCGGTGGTTTCATTAATAAACTTTACTTCAAGTAGAAATTGTGTCTCGCAAGACGTCGTGTGGATTTTGTGGCCTAAATAAACTACCTAAATCTTGATAGCAAACTGTGACGGAAATAATAAACTGCCTGTTAAACGCAAGTGAATCACATGCACGCATGCTGCTGTGATATTTGTCCCTTTTGGCGTATTTATTCAATATACTTAGTGTATTAACTCAACAGTTATTCCAAAGAGGGAAATCGTCGTGTAATGAGCAAATGAAGCGTGAAATGACAAGCTAGGAAGCACGTATAGCTGTTTAGACCTGGCTAGGTCTCTTCAGCAGTGTGAATCTAAGGACCAGACTGTAGATAGGACATGGGACCTCACAGGCAGAACGCAAGTATGCTACCCACAGGACAACCGGACAACTGATCAGACCGTTTTTATTTTACATCTACAGGATATAGCACACCCAATCCTTGCGAGCTTATTACGGGCAACGCACACTGCTCATCTGAACACTATCATCCAGGGCGAAGAGCTAGTTGAAAAATGTCCATCAATGGCAGATGCTTTTATCATCCTAACATGCGCTTCAATAATGGCTCACTATAATTAAATTGCCAGAAAGAATCATTCGGTCATTTACCTATAATATGAAGAATGAGACAATTTCTCATATGTATTTTCGATAATCAGCGCTCATACAAGTCAACCGGAACAGGTGATACTTGGAATCCTTGATTTTTCAAGTGCATCAGCGGTATTTTCACATTAGTCAGGGAAGCGGGGGAGAGGGTCGGGTGAGAAATCAGTTTCATGACAATCTGAGCGATTGTATATGAAACGTTTGTGCGCACAAGATTGGGTTACGTGACTTAATTAGCATCGCCTCGCTAAACGCAAAAATCCTGGGGTTCATGTTACGTAATGAAGGCTTGAACGGGATTTGCGGGTCAACGATGTGTCCAGTTGAGCTGTTCCTTCAAATTCAAAACGTTTTTAATTATTTTATTAATTTTAATTTCTTCTCATAAGATGTTTTCCATTGATGTTGATTCACTTTTTACAAATATCCCTCTCCATGAAACAGTAGGCTTTTTATGTGATTTTGTCTCCTCAATGAATATTCACCTTCCTATTCCCTTTGATTATTTAAAAGATCTTATCATTGTTTGCAATGAGAACATACGCTTTGAATTTGAAGGAACAGAGCACAAATAAATTGATTGTGAAGCAATGGGTAGTCCCCTTGGGCCTACATTGGCCCATGTATTTCTGGGAATGGTTGAATAACGCATGAATCATAATATTTCAATGGCCGTTCGTAAAAACGTTATGATGATGATACTTTGATTTTTACTGACTCTGATCATTTTAATGCAATTTTGACACTATTTAATACTATTCATCCCAATCTCTCTGTTTCCCTTAGGGAGGACAAGAATGACTGTTTGAATGTTTCAGATATAAAAATCAGGAGGCGATCAGATGGAACCTTGCAAAGATCTGCCTACCAGAGGACTACATAGAGCGGGCAATACTTACAATTTGCCAGGTTTGCTGACAAAAGAGGTCTGATGAAGACTCTGTTCCATCGAGCCAGGAAGATTTGTTCTCCTAACACTGTCCCGGAAGAAGAGACCTTTTGCGAAGAACGATACTGGATAACGGTTACCCAGTGACATTTATTGATGTACATAGCAGACGAAAGACACTGGTTGATCCCGTCTGCGAAGTACCGAAGAGGAGCGTCTTTCTCAGACGTGCCTTTAAAGGTGATCATATAATAAACGACGTGCGTCTGAAGCTCAAGGCGGCATTGTGTCGAACGTTTTCGACCGCACAGTTTTGACTGACACCATATACCCTAGGACTACCTTTAGACGATCGAAAACAGCACCAGCCGAACAAATCTGCTTCACATATAGTCTACCAGTACACCTGCACATGCGGTACTTACATCGGCAGAACGAATCGGCCCTTGGCACAGCTGATGTCTGAACACATTCCAAAGTGGTGGGTACAATCGATGACGCAATAAAATCTTACAGGTCAAATTGTTAACAGAAATTCAGGGTCATCAATCGCAAAACACCTCATGGGAACTGGACACATCGTTGACCCTCTAATCACGTTCAAGCCAATATTATGTAACATGAACCCCAGGATTTTTGCGTTTAGCGAGGCGATGCTAATGAAGTTACGTAACCCAATCTTTTGCGCATACACAATCAGTCAGACTGTAATGGAACTGATTTCCCACCCTCTCCCCGCTTCTTTGACTGTTTGCCGTTCTACCACTGTAGTTATCAATGCTTGCTCGTATAAATACCGGATTTTCCTAATAATCGATCTTTTTTGTGCATGGATCATGTGATAAATTGAACATTTTGTTTAATAACTTTGTGCCTCCACATATAATACAGGCTTCAGCTTCATTGCGCTCTGGTATGAAACAGAAATCAACGTATGCGAATTTTCCATTTTCACATGCATTGGAACCGGTCCTGATCCATCGGTTATGCTAATATTGCTAGTTTAGTGTGAGTACAAAAGTGGTTGAGAATGTCACATTTCCAAACAGCGGTTTCGCGGAGCACAATTCTCCAAAATAAGCATTGGTTGGACGGAAGAATCAGGTGAACCTTATGTGGCTCATCACTACAAGTCCCGGGCCTTGGGTTGCCAGTTTTCA